TGTTTTAGTGTCAAAATCAAAACATTTTAGTATTGCAACAAGCTGTGACCATGCAGATCACATCAAAACTATAAACTGTATAAAGAAGTGGACTAAGGGAGTGTGACGTCACCCATAGTGTTCAGCTCCAGTCAAATGAAGCTCACGGGGCTAGCAGCTATAAGACTGATTCGGAGATGAGTTCCATATTAGCAAAAGGAATTTATTTACAGACAAAACAGTGAAATAAAAAAAACATCAGGATCATGTAGAATGGGTTGATATGAATATTTAAAGGCTTACCGCAGCAACTAAAGAAAATTGGTGACAGTTTCTCTGTGTGAAGTCAATTGAAGCCAGAGACAATGGAGCTGTAGCACACCCTATGCCCACTTCCTATTTGGAATGCGGCAGCTAGCTGGTTAACTATTACAGGGACAGTCCGGAATTTTGGACATAGTACCTCATTTCATAGAGAGCCAGAATGTTGGAGACATTTGGAGACACTTTTTGTAAATATTCCATCCAGTCCTTATATTTGCAGAGGTCGCTGGTGCTAGGCTAGTGCATGTCAATGGCCATAGTTAGCCTGCCACTAAAAACAGCCTTTCCCACTCAAAAAACACCCAATGCAAATCTATTATTATGTCAGACTATCGATGTAAATGTCAGTGTCGATAGAATAATTTTAGAAATAAAACCAACCTTGCATTTGAAGGATTTATGTCTGAGCAGCAGCAGCAAGTTGTACTTCCTGATAGAAAGCTTGGCAGTGGCGGACTGATGTATGAGAAAATAGTCCCTAAACATACAAATTTCTTTATTTATTTCAAACATTATTCTGTCAACACAGACATTTACATCAACAGTGTGGTGTAATAATAGATTTGCTTTGGGTGCTTTGTGGAGTGGGTAAGACTGTTTTTAGTGGCAGGTTAACTATGCCCATTGACATGCGCTACCCTAGTCCCATCGACCTCTGCAAATACAAGGACTGGATGTAATATTTAAAAAGTGTCTCCACATGTCTCCAAGACTCTGGCTAATTAGGTAATGAGGTCCTATGTCCAAAATTCTAAACTGTCCCTTTAATATATACAATCTATGATCAAATCTGACAGCCTTCAAATAAACCAGTTTGTTTAACCAGTCCTATAAATACTGGTTGAATCTGTAATTCCATACTATGCACACTACAAAAATAAACAAACCGCAAACCGAAGTACAAAATTTGAATACTGATTACTTTTACCGTGTGGAAATAGGATGATTTTCACTGCATTGCATTTGTGGTCTAAGCTGCTGACAAACCAAATAATTCCAAACCAATATTTAACACTATCAAATGCAGAAAATCCTGAATACATTTACGAGAGTCCTTTCTATATGCAAATTCTGTATGTGCCCAGGCATATAATGTGAGACTGTAAATGCCGTGTACTAAAACGAACCCTCTGTCACCCCTTCTGATGTTAATATTTAGATTTTAAATTTTGTGAAAAAAAAAGAAAAAAGTGTGGGCCTAATGTAAATGTCCAGGCAATTTTCTGACTATAACTTGGTATGTATTTTGATTGACAATTTAATTATATCACCATGTTATCAGCAAGAAAAGGCACAAATCAAATCAAAGTTTTCAAGTAACATAAAGGAGCACTGTATAACTTTTCAGTTTGGAGTCTGTCACCTTTTGGTTTCTATGGATATGTCATTGCTCTGCTTCGAATGTTCCACAGTATGACATTAAACAGATCCTTACAAGTATTCAATTACAAGTGGTTTTATTACTCAAAAATACCTAGAAAAACGGCATACTGACTGTGAGCAGGGTCGCCTCTCCACAGATCTGACCTGTAACTTGGCCTGGTTTAGTCTTCATGATGATAGGAAGTTTTAACGCCATACTGTGAAGCATTTTAGACAAAGCAATAACAGAAAAGAGAAAGAAAAACTTTTGAGCAAAAGTTATGCAAAGCAGCTTTAAGTAAATATCCTGTCTTTTGAATCTTATGATCTACTTACCCTATACAAATGCATGTACTTTAGCAACCTGTACTTCAGATTTCCTTTCTCTGTTGCTGTGTTTAAAACATGCTCTGTGAACCTGAATCTCTTAAAACAACAATTATAAATCCAATAGCAATCTTTGTCAGAATTGCTTAGACATGATTTCCCACTTTAGTCCCTTGTCACTCACTTTCATTTGCTCCTTCTACGGCAACTAATGATTATTTTAGAAGTGAACTAATGACCAATTTTTTTTTTGTATTACTGAAGTAATTTAAAACACATTTTAAAAAGATGAAGCTTGAAATATGATGCACAAAACTGACTCTTGTGAGCTTTAAGTCATGTTAGAATGTTGTTACATTATCAAAAACCTGGCGTCCAGTTTTGTTTCAGTCAAATATGTTTAAGTTTACCTTTATTAGTTTATTAGTCTGTTTACATCTCCTAAGCTCAGGCTGCTCTGTTCCACCTTGTGATGTCATGAAGCTGTAGTTTTCAAGTTAACAGCTACCTTTTTGGTTCAGGAGAGACTGGCAATTTCAGGGTTGAAATCATCCAAATGAGAAGAACTGAGTCTGTATATGCAGGGTTTGTGTTCAAAATGTGTGAATGAGACAAAACTCCAGGTATGTTTTTGATTTTTGATGAGGAAACAGCACTATAACATAGATCAGATCAGAAATAGTGTAATATGAGCTCTTTAACTACTTTGGTTATCAAAATACAAGAGGTTAATAGTTGACGAGTAAAAATTACTCCAGTGAATCATGGCCTTGTCCTTGTAGTGTTACCTTCCTAGTTTGTTCATGTCCAGGAGCATGGATACAGTGCGCTGGGTGTTGCTTTAGGGCCAGTGGAACAGGGGAGCTCTGGTGTAGTCATTAAAATTTAAAACACGCCAGTCAGGGTTTGAATCCTCCCAGGCTCACAGTTACAGTGCAGGCTTCAGTTAGTTTGTTAGCTCAACCCAGATCTGATAGAGTTACAGCAACAGGTCAGCACTGTCCAACGTCAAGGGCATACAATACAGGATCCATTTGTTTTGGCGACAGAATGAAGATACGTTATGGACTACGTTCATGCCACATTCCATACAACTCCAACTCAAGCTTATGTAATAGATAACCCTATGTCATGTCAATCACGATTCCACTTTGCACTGTTTCTCGTTAAGACGTCTTGTATGTAGCAGAGACATATTTGTATTACCATGTTTCTATATTTTATTTGTACTTACGCTATACATTTATATAATTATGGCTTATTTGACACCATTCACCATTTGTATGTTTGCTCTTTGTTATTGTATTTATTCTGATGTGTGAGCTCCTGTGTCCAAATATTTTCCCTTGTGGATCAATTAAGTTTGTTATAGTATCTGGTATTTAGTAATGAATCAAACCATCACATAGATCAAGACTGTTTGTAGAGGTCTAAACAACAGGATGTGATAATTGCAACAGTTTTGTTTCTCTTGTGATATATTATAGTTCTGTTGTAAACGATAGTCATTGAAAAGGACTTATTCAAAACAGAGTATGCAACACAGGCATTATCGTGTACTATAGCTTGAAAACAACTATCAGTAACTGGAAATTAGAAACAGTTGCAAAAAAGTGAAGGTAACTGATGTAAAAAATATTGAGAGTATGCTATATATAGTATATGTATTTAAAGTAGTCGACAGAAAGACAGAATGCACACATCATATGGATTCCTTCATATTCCTGTAGTGGCGACATATTGCCACAGGGAGAGAGGAGACTGCAGCTGAGAAGATAAATCTTTGCAGAAAAAAAGATGAGTGATCGTGGACTAAGGCAAGGAAATGTCTCACAGCCAAGTCTCTAATGATGATGTGAAGACAATTGTATTTCATTCGTGACTTGAAGCTAATGGCAAAACTACACCATCGGAACATATTGTTAACTAATATATTCAACTGTAATGTGAAAGGTTTAAAAGGTGCACTATGTAAGTTTTTGGTGTCAGCTGACTGCTTGTCTCCATGGAGATGTTGTTACTTTGCCTGGATTGTTCCACAGTACGGCATTAAACTGACCTATCTTGCATTTATTCAATTACTTACAGACTTTTCTATTTTGCAAAGTAATAACATCACCATGGAGACAAACAAGTGGACCTCCCCCAACAAAAAAGTTACATATGGCACCTTTAAACGATGTCCAAGAACAATGAGCAAGAGCAGTGTATTTAAAGTAGCCAAACGACAATTTTATTATACATTCTGGACAGTTATGGTTTTGTATGTTAATATCTTTTGTATGTTTTTGAAGGTTAATTAATTTTATTATGATGAATGTTTTACTTTTACTTACTGATCTCCAGTGCACAAACACAGATTGGTACCTGTCCTCCTGTATTGACCCAGTAGCCCCTGCGTCTGCCGTAACAATGTTGAACTTATGTAAGCTCATTTCATTAGATTCATCTCCTTTATGACACTTTATGATCAGACTAAGAGCGCAGGGGCCACAGCGAGGCGACCGCTTTATGGTCCCAGGGCCGTAAACAGCAGCTGCAACTGACACCTGTTGGACACAACTGACTTACTGTGCAATACAACAGTGCACTCATAAGTGGGACGCTTTCCATGTTTCACACTATAGGAGAGATCTATTATTCATACCAATGTACTTAATAATATATTAATAGTAATGAAAAAGGTTAGCTTGGATACTGTTAAAAGTACATTAATTAGTCTAATTTCGCAGAAGACTAGACAGTAAAGTGATTCACTAAGAAGAAAGCAACTGTCCTTAACGTTATTAGGGGTATTAATTAGTCTACTGCAAAAACAAAACCAAAAAAAAAGTAATTTGTGTAGTTTCTTTGTTTAACATTTTGGAGAAACGGCTCAAAATGAGAATAAATTCTTCAGTTTTTTGTTTCTGTGAATTTTAACATGTTATTTCTGCAGAATAACTCAAATTTTGGAGCGGGATAACTTTGGAGTGTGCATACATGCGTTAATTCCTGTGCGTTCTTACCTATGGTGGTTATGACGGTGATGGCGAAATAAAAGGAGCCCGCGAACTTCCACTGGACCCCGCCTTTGTGCGGTTTGAGCTGCAGCACCACTTTCTCCAGTTCCTCAAAGTCTTTCATGGATAAGTTAAAAGAGCTCAGCAGTTCCAGCTTTTTCAAATCCAACTCTTTCCTCTGGCTCGTCTCCTTTTGGGACTCCAGCGCGTCGAAGATCGCAGCGCCCACGATCAGGTAGGTGAAGGTGCACACGATCAGGGCGAGGGTGCGCACGTTTTGCCGCTTCATGGCGCCGGCCGCAGAGCTCGTGTCCCGGGGCAGTGAAGTCTGGAGGCCGGGGAGCTCGGCTCGGTCATGGTGGGGGCAGCGCCACTCTCTGACGCTGCGCGCGGACGGAGCGGAGGTTTAAGCCGCGGAGCTGTTCATTCAGCACCAGCCCGCCCTCCTGTCCGCGAGCCCGCCCCACGCACACGAAGACCCTCCCGCCCTCTGCTCCAGCCAACTGTTTTCCACCAACGGGACTCACTGAATGATGGCGTGAGAACCTCTTCATCTGCGATTCTGTTCAATCAATTTAATGCGATCTTGTTAGACTAAAACAAACTTGAATGAACCAGAATTTAGATTAGGGACACGGTAGCATACACACTGCAAAATAGGAACAAACAACAACAACAACAGCACCAACAACAACAAAAATGGCAATACAATTCAAATGCAACATAATTAAACTTGCATTGCGTAACTTTTCGGTGGACGGTCCCTCACATTCTTTTCTCTGTGGAGATGTTATTCCTTTGTCTGCAATGTTTCACAGTATGATATTAAACCTTTCTGTCTTCACGGAGACCAAACCAGACTGAGTTACAGGTCACATCTGTGGAGAGGCGACCCCGCTCACAGTCAGAATGCCTTTTTTTCCAGGTATTTTTGAGCTATAAAAGTACCTGTAACTGAGTAAATGTTAAATCGAGCTGTTTAATGTCATACTTTGGAACATTTAGGCAGAGCAGTGACACATTGAGCCAAAAAGTTACATAGTGCACCTTTAAATAAGCAAAAAACAAAACAAAACAAACAACAAATATACAGTTTTGTACTTGATCAATAGGATAAAAAGTAAATCTAAAATGTATTACTTTATATACAAGAAGTGGTTGGGTAGGAGAGCTGTTGACGCACAGGTCAGCTTGAAATAAGATTCAAGTTCAAAGAGTTACTGAATTTCCCAGACCTTAAATCCACATCCTGGCATTTTTCAGGGCCAGCCTAAACTGCTTCAATGTATTTTCAGAAATAAATATTGTTTATAATGCCACACATGCAATGCAAACATCTCAATGAACACTGAACAGTAACTTCTCCCCAGAGCCCAGTTCTTCAGACTCACTACATTATCTTGATTATGTGGCACTTACACACACTTAGGATAAAAGCAGTCTAAACAAGTCGCCCAGATGTTGGAGAAGATCCAGATGTTGTTTTTGCTTCAAGACTAACTCCCTGTAACTTTCATTCCCAGAGGAGCAGTTCAAGTCAAGCCTACGTCACAAAACACCAGTGAGATGTTTGTACTCTCTTCTAATAGTTTCCAAGTAAGATGAATTAGATAATTGACGTAACATTATGAGGTGTCCTGTATAAGTGGATATTTAGTTTGAAAACAAAGTGCACTGTGCGAAATTGTCCAAACAAATGACAGAAAGCACTGACTCGCAAGAACTAAGTGAGTCAGAGTTTAGAGACAGTGATGGGAATAATACTTTGAAAGTGCAGTTATTTACAGAATACTGAAGAACACCCAAATTAAAATGAATTTTGTAATGTATTCCATTACATAGTCCAGTCAGAGTATTCTGAAAACTTAGAAACTATTACACCGAACTGCAGTATACTATAGAGTAAAATACATAACACATAATTACAGAGTGTTTTATTTTTGTTGCACTGTTTGTTATGCATTAATTTATGTCTAATTAGAGATGAAAAGTTAAGCATGCCTCACCACAAGAGTTTTCTGTTTTGCTTGACAATAATGTGCAGTCCAAAGCCAAAATTACATAATGAAGTACTGCCATGTATTGCCTTTAATTTAGGAAAGTAACTGTACTATGAATTAGCCTGATTCATCAGCCAGTTTCACTTCATGGAAACCGTCTGACCTCACAGCTAGGATTTGTTTGCTCAATTGAAGGCAGGTACTTTTTTTATTTAACCAATCGCTGCTATTTGGTCATGACGTATGTAATGCGCCACAACGCTCGGTGATGTCCAAGTAATTGCCGGCACAACAGCAAACAAAGCAGAGAGTGAACATGTCTATCAGCGATCACTGTTGTTTCTGCAAGATGAACTTGTGAATTAAAGGTGCAACAAAAAATGCAAAGTGTGTATTTGACAAAGGAAGTCCAAAGCAGGATGGCATATACAGTCTGCTCTCGCAACTTCAGTTGGTTCAGCTCTTCACTGATTGGCCAGTGTGCAATCTACAACTTCCGGGTTTCTTGCAAACCATGTAGTGTATTTTGATTCCTGTCCTAATCACTGGAGAGAAATGAAATTGAGTGGAGGCACTAGGTGTTGCCAGCCTGGTTAACTATAAATACCACCAAGTGAAAAAGTAACTGTACCAGAATACAATTAGTCAAAAATACTATTCACAATATGTATTTTTTGTTACATGTATTCAGTTACTTCCCAACACTATTTAGGTATTAGATGATACTGGTACCTTCTTATTACTATGAAGATGTTACTGCTTTGTCTAGAATGTTCTACAGTAGAGCATTAAGCTAATTATAGGTCAGATCTGTGGAGAAAGCAGAGAGGTGATCCCGCTCACAGTAAGAAAGCAAGAAAGTAAGAAAGTTTTTCAGGGTAATTTTGAGCAGCAAATACACACATAATGAAATAAATGACTGATTAATGCCATATTGGGGAACATTGCAGGCAAAGAAACAATATGTCCATGGACCAGCTGCAACAAGAATGTGTAAGTTACATCTACTAATATAATCTTTAAGGTGAGTTTTTTGGGGGCATTTTTGAGCAGCAATACACACAGTAATGAAGTAAATGCCAGATAAATGCCGCACTGCAGAAAACTTACACAGAGCACTTTTATGTTTTATCCACACACAGTCTTTTTTGTGCCGTTGTTTGGTCCAAGTGCCTGTTTTGTCGTGGTCAGATTTGTCATCACAGTTCACTCTAATTTCCATTTTCACATGTGTCCTTTAGTGCGGGGTGACAGAGTTTGACATCTGCCCACCTCATTACAGACCCATTGATCCAGGACTGGTCTTAAGTCCTGCTCCAAAAATACCATGTGCTGTGGGACCATGTCAGACCAGTGGAGCGTGACCAGCTCCATAATCCAGCTCTGCTTCATCAATACAATCAATGGGTCCACGCGCTCTGTTCAAGCAAAGCAGGTTAAATGTGCCTTTTTCCACGCAATCATTCAAACAGCACTAAAAACAACTCTGTTTATAAATGTGCGATCAATAGTTCAATATTTCTCTAATAGAACCATAATTTTTTAGACCCACAAAGGCAATAATCGTTATGACCTTTTCTGTTTTTTTTTCAATATAAGAATTAGCTTGTGCTTTTATTTTGAATCTTATGTTGAAGTAATTTCTGCAGTGCTCTTGTGGTAATTAAAGGGCCTATACTACGCTATTTTCTGATATATGTTATAAAGTTGTTTCCTCATGAAAACGTGGAATTTTGTTCTGTTTAATTCACACAGGTGTATAAATCCTGCATTTTTACACTCTATTCCACCTTGTAGTGTCATATGGTAATACAGGTAGTGCTCCACTGTGTTGTTACACTCCATACACCTTCACTAGAATCATTTTAATACTTTCAGACCTGGAGTAGCCTATTTCTATTGAACAAAAGGTAAAAGGTAGTTGTTATTTTGAAAACTACCGATCTTCATGATATCAGGAGTTGTGGGGTTGTAGTTAGGTGTTTGAGTGTGCCCCAGTGTTGTGGAGCTATGTTGGATCATGGCACAGTAAACTCAGGATTAAACCATATGTTAGTGGTTAACCTCCTAATCCAGATTGTGAGCCCAGACCAGCTGGACCTCAGGTGCTTTACTCATATCACACCTGTCACTCTAAATACCCCTGAATGCAACACAACAGCTCCAAACACTGGCAGGCTGCTGGAGGCTTTGAAATAACTCATGATATAGGCTCTGCTTTGACCTATCATCTCGAAATGATAAATACATAAAAAACACACATTTCTTAATGACACATTTTTTTGCTTATATCTATACTAAAGATACAGTGTGTAACCATGTAATACTACACTACACATGTTTTATGCCGTACTGTGGAAGGTTATAGCCAAATAAACAACATTTCCATGGAAACAAACAGAAGAAAACCCTCCTCCAGGGTAGATAAGGGTCAGATTTGTGGAGTAGCAAGCTTGCTCAGAGCTGGAATGCAAATTTTACAACATGTTTTCATGTTTACGTTATAATGTGGCTAAAAAGTTACAGTTTGTCATTAATTGATATTGATCTTGCATTTGTTATTACATAATATAAAAGCGCTCCTTAGAGATAGGGTGAGGAGTTCGGTCACATGGGAGGAGCTCGGAGTGGAGCTACTGCTTCTCTACGTCGAAAGGAGCCAGTTGAAGTGGCTCGGGCATCTGTTCCAGATACCTCCTGGGCACCTCCCTTGGGAGGTGTTCTGACCATGTCCCACTGGGAGGAGGCCCCGGGGAAGACCCAGGACAAGCTGGAGGGACTATGTCTGTCAGCAGGCCTGTGAATGCCTTGGGGTCCCCCCAGTGGAGAAGGATGAAGTGTTTGGGGTGAAGGAAGTCTGGGAGTCCCTGCTTAGACTGCTGTCCCCGCGACCTGGCCCCAGATAAGCGGAAGACAGTGGATGGATGGAAAGGTTATCTTGTATTAAAGCCAATAGCATTTTAGTGCTTTTCGTGTTTTTACCACACTAAATACTATACTATAACTCCACATACAACTTTCATTTATTGTTGTTATTTCAAAGTCTTGTCTTCAAAGTTAACCCTTATCCAGAGTTACCAGGGTGAAAAAGTCATGCAGTGAATTCTGCAGGTTTTTTTCACTGGATGCCCTTCCTGTTACATCCAATCAAATGCCATGGTCACCTTAATGGACAAACAGTGTACAGCTTCATCAATAAGAAACAAATACAGTAAATATCTGAATCACTAAACACAAGTCAATTCTTTATGACATAATGTGCCTCAAGCATCTTGAGAACTTTTGAGAA